TCGTGTCACACCACAATAAGACCAGTCTCACACTGGAGCTGGACCAGGTGCAGTCTGAGCGAGGCGTTGCTTTGTGCACTGATAATGGAGAATGGTTTAACTTTAAGGCATCTAACTGCACCCATCTAATAACCATGGCTCTTATTTACACTCCATTTCTGGCTAAAATTAGTAGCTCTCTGGCACTTTTGTTTTATAAAAAGTAGCTGAGGGGAGGAAAAAGGTTGGTGACCCCTGGGCTTGACCACTCAATCTATTCAGAAAATTTTTAATTTTATCATATTTATGTGATTAGAAATCTGTATTTGATTGTGGATAATACATTCTTCATGAGTTTAAATAATGTCTCACTTCATTTTCTGCTGTGAGACTTCAATTTTTCTCCTGAGATCTTCTATAAGTCTGTGATCAACACGCTGCAATTAAAATCTTAATGTGTTTAGTTGTGTTACAGAGCCCCTAATCCTGTACCCAGTCTCTCCGGAATCGTGGGCGTCTGCCCTGGTGTGAACCGCTCAGTCAGGAAACTATTCAAACTATCTCTGTATTTGAATTCCACCTACCGCACACAACTATATGTCCTTTAGTGCTTATAAAGTACAGCCTGTAATAAAACATGGCCATGGCTCTGTTTCTTATTACATACATTAATGGTTCTCAAACTTTTCCCACCAAGTATCAACTAAGAAAATAAACAGCTTTCCTTGTACCGTCCGAGCTAAACCAGGTCTAATTCCATATCTGAACTAGGTCTAAAATATAGGACTACAGCGCAACTTAAAAGTGATATATTATGAAAATTACACAGTGAGTTTAAGCCATGTTAGCTGATTGTTGTTACCTCATCAAAAACATACACCAAGATCGAGTTGTGTTTGTTTCATTCACACATTTTTGAGTAACGTTGCATTATTAGTCTGTCTACATCTCCAAAGCTCAAAATGCTCAGTTCCACCTTGTGATGTCATGAAGTGGTAGTTTATAAATTAAGAGATAAGCAATTCCAGGGCTGAAATTCTCCAAATGATTCTAGTGAAAGTGCATGGAGTGTATGTTTGTTTGAAGAAGAACTGGGCCTAAATATGCAGGATTTGTGTGTTAAACACGTGTAAATGAAACAAAACACAACTCCATTTATGTTTTTGTTCAGAAAATATCATACTGTGGTCTCTCTAAGAAGTTCTAAACCAGGTCTAGGATTATCTCAAGGGGTAAGAATTCTCTTTGAGGAAAGAAACTGTATACATTTATTTGTCTAGGACCCAATATTTGTTCTCAGCCTAATAAAAAAAACAAAAAAACTAAAAACAATCTGGCTTTTATTTTAGTTTCTTCCTCACACTTGAGTTTTGAAATCACAGAACGTCCTCCGGTGAATGAAACCCTCATTGCTTTTGATTTATAGACCATGGACATGAGCACAGCGCCTCAACGGCTCACTGAAGGTGCCAGAAGATGGGAATACAGAACACGGAAGATTCAAAATATGCTTTGAAAAAAACACACTTCCCCTGACAGCTCACTGTTCGTTTTGGCTGGAAGGATAGCTACTGTTTGATGACTGTGAAAGCTGGTGTGGTACTGCTCTCCAGATGTCAATTGAGCAGAAATGTGGTGATGGGAAAAATGGAAGCTGTTTTGATCCATCTGCTCCTAAACATTACCTGAATATCCGGGCGATGAGTCTAAGAGATTGAGATTCGATGTAGAAATGTTGGCGTAGCAATGTTTGTGTAATGCTTTATTAGTAGTCTGTCTAACCCAGACTTGGGCATTGTGCAGCTCCCAGGTTGACTTTGACCGGCCTGTTTAAGATAATTTAGAGTTACAAAATAAACATATTTCATAATTTTACTTCATGCATGAACTAAAGCTGCATTGCTTTTATTTTAGAGGTATTTTTTATGACGTTTTTTGTAATGCAACCTGACTTTTTTCATTGCTTAGTCATAACATAAACTCTCCAGTCTTACCAGCCTGTCAAAACAATACTGTGTACTGCATTTGAGAAAGAAATACAGTAAATATTATGCAGAATTGAGTTTAGTATTTTGGCTCGGCCCTCCACAATATTTTCTCATGTGGCCCCATGGAAAAAATAAATTGCCCACCCCTGGTCTAACACCATATCATCTTTGCACTGTTTTCCCTTGCGTCGTATATTGCTGAGATATTTTATTGCTTATTTCTATGTTATTGTATTCTTACTTGTACATATGCATTTATTTAACTATGCCTTGACACAAGTCTCTTGCTATTTTTGCTACTTATTTAGAATTATGACCCTTTATATGCTTTCTCTCTGTTATTATAATGTGATGTGTGAGCTGCACAGCAAAAAGTGGAGTGTTAATATTGACTCTCACAGAATCAATTTTAACATTTTCTCAGTGTTTATATGAGTCCAATTTGTTCTAGAATTAATTTAACATTTAATTAGTTAATTAAGTAACACTGGACCAAAAGTTCCTGTTTAACCCCAAAATCAAGAGTTGTCTTAACGTTTTGAGAGTAAACGGATAACACTTTGCAGGGTTATCCTGATTTAGCTTTAACAACACACAGAAGTGTTTTTTTTAAACTTTATTTTAGTTAATTTAAAATGAAATTATGTACAAAAACTGGTTTAAAGTGGTCTTCTCTCACGGGAGTTTGAAGTGGTGGTGCCAGATTAACACTACAGTAGGGGAAGTTGAATTAACTTCAACCACATCAACTCTGGCAAATAACCCAACTTGAATCCCCATTTAACGTTCATATAGTTAAAATAACACTTTTTTGTGTCTTAAGCCTATATTTTTTTGCTGTGTACTGTGTCCAACTAATTTCCCTCGTAGATCAATACAGTTTGTTTAAGTTTAAGTCTACATATCGAAAACTCTGTTCCAATTTATGATGTAATGAAGTGGTAGTTTTCAAGTGAACAGCTTCTTTTACCTTGAGTTCAGAAGAGGTGAGCAATTCCAAAGCTGAAATTATCCAAATGATTCTAGTGTATGGAGGTTAAAAACACAGTGGAACACTTCTTGTATCACCACGTGACATCACAAGGTGGGACAGGCTGGAAGGGCAGCTACTGTTTTATGACCGTGAAAGCTGGTGTGGAACTGAGTAATTGAGCAGAAAGGAGTTGATGGGAAAATGGAAACTATTTTGATCCATCTGCTCCTAAACATTACCTGAATATCCTGGTGATGAATCAAAATTTTGAGAATCGACGTAGCAATCATCAACATAAAACAGGCCATTACATCGGTGATGGATGAGCAGCATGGAGCCAAAACTACATCAATTTGTTGCTTCCAGACTGCTAACATTGTTCCGTTTGGGTAAAATTTAAATTGCAAAAGTTAAGGTAGTACATTAGTGCTAAATGACCTCATTTTGCTTTTACATTTTGTTCTCGGGAAAATACAAAAACACACAGGCTATGTTGAGAAGACTGGGGAGGCTTGTAAAAAACATTCTGATTGGCCAGGGTTTGTCCTTGGCCAATGACACCTACAGATGCAGCAGAGTCTGGAGACTAGAATGAGACAGAAGGGACAGAAGACTCTAATTTAAAGAGCCCATGTTACACTATTTTCCGATCTATGTTATAATGTTGTTTCTTCATTACAAACATACCTGTAATTTAGTTTGTTTCATTCACATGTTTAACACACAAATCCTGCATATTTAGGCTGAGTTCATGTGATAATACTGGAAGTGCTCCACTGTGTTTGTAAACTCCATATGCCTGCACAATAATCATCATTTGGATGATTTCAGCCCTGGAACTGTCAATCTCTACTGAACTAAAGGTAAAAGGAGCTGTTAACTGGAGAACTATCACTTCACGACATCACAAAGTGGAACAGAGCATTTTGAGCTTTGGAGATGTAGACAAACTAATAATAAAGGTTTAGTCAAATGTGTGAATGAAGCAAAACACAACTCCTGCCATGTTTTGATGAGGTAACAGCAGTATTAGGGTGGTTTCTTTTAGATTCTCTAGATTAGAAGCTTGCATTTGGCTCCATATCTGGCCAAAATATTTGGGTCCAAATTTTATGCAAATTAATATTTAGAGGTTGCTGAAGACACTTGAAAATTATAGGGCCTGATTCGGTTTCCACGAAGTGGAAGTCTGACCTCGCAGCATTAGGATTTGTTCACTCGACAGTAGGCGGGTACTTTTTAATTAACCCAATCACTACTGTTTGGTCGTGATGCATGTAATGCACCAAATCCTGTACGAAGAAGGGCAATAACGTCTTTCCCCTTGATAAAATTCAACAAACATTCTCTTTGTTCCATCTTTAAATCCTCGATCTCAGGAATCGTTGCCAACACAGAATGTCTGGCTTTGTCTACATCCATCTCAACCACTTTGTTTACTGTTGTGCTGTACCACAAAAGGGACCCAGAGAGGCACTTGAGTTTGACGTCATAGCTTCACAGCTCGTCGCTGATTGGCTGGAGCATGGTCTGCAACTGCTGGGGTTCTTGAAGTGTATTCCAATTCCTGACCTATTCACTGGAGAGAAAAAAAATTGAGCAGAGGCACTAGGTGGCACCAGCCTGCCTACTATACTATAACATAGTGAACAAAATAAATAAGGTCAGCTCGAATAATTTGTCATTTTATTCTGCAAACACAAACTGAAACTTGCATAAAAATTACTTAGAAAGTCCATTAAAAAAAGTTACTTGAAAATGGTAAATTTTTCAATTTCCAGGAAACTTCATGCAGCTTGAGCAACCTCTAAAACATCTCCTTTTTCTTCCAAATGTCTTCTCAAATCATCTTTTGGGTGCTAAAACCTAATGCGGGGTTCTAATAGAGGTTATCTGAAACTTTATTTTTCACCATGCTTTGATGCATTTTAACATGACTTAAATCTCACAAGAATCCATTTTGTGTAATAAAGGTAATTTAAGTCAATCAAGTTATTAAGTAAATCATTTCCAAAAAATCAGATTGTCAAATTTGTGCTTTTCTTTTTCTATTTTTGCAGGTAAAATGTCAGACGTTCGTGCGCAGAGGAAGAGGCAACAGCTGAACAACTTGGTCGCCATGGTTACTGAATTAGCCCAACCTGGGAACACTATTGTGGACTTTTGCAGCGGAACGGTGCGCTCTGTTCATCTCTCCAACATGCTTTTGTATTGATTAGTGCACTTAGACTACCACTAAACTCACTTTTGGTCAATACACAATTTAATTCAGCCTTATTTGGTTTTAAAATATACTTCTAAATGATGGGTCCTTTTCAGAGTAACAGCACCGATTGCCCACTCATGTTTGGTACTATTTGGTTGTTTTTGCAGGGCCATGTGGGGATTGTCCTGGCTCATGCTCTTCCAGATTGCCAGGTATGTGTGTTCCAAGAATATAATAAAATCAAAATAGCATAGTCCCTAATTATTACCTGATTTAATTACTGCCCAAAGTTAGACCTGTCATGATAATTACTACTATATCAATATATGAAAGCTGGAGCTATATATTTCAATATTTATCATGATATTTTTTCTTTGCACTACTGGGACATTTGTGGTTATTTTTTGGTAAAATATCTGTGGAAATGTCTGGCGTATTCTCCACCAGCTTTATAAATCTGCTTGCCAGATCTCCAAATCTTCAATGTCCACAAAGGATAAACATTGTTCCATGAAGAATTTATCCACAACTATCAAGATAAGGAAAATGAAAACTTAAAGGAGAACAACGACAAGCATTGGTGAACTTTGAACGGCACAAATCTCTGCTAATGCCTGTGCTAATGTCTGCATCATGAAATTGATTTAAAATTTTAATTGTAGAATCAGTCTGAGTGAACAAATTATTTATGTTTTATTCATGACGATGACATTAGTTTTGCTCAGTAGTTCAATAATGCTGGTCGTCGTTCGCCTTTACGTTTTTGTCTTTCTTACCTTGATAGTTATGGATATATTTTCGTGGAAGATTGTTTATCGAGCTTGTTGGTTGAAGATTTGGTGATAGGGCAGATTTATGAAGCTGGTGGAAAATACGCAAGATATTTCTAAAGACATTTTGCCATAGAAAATCATTAACCAGAAGTTCCACCAACCCTACAGCGAGGCACTTCCGGCCGTTTTGAAAAAGCTCTATGATATATCCACAGAAACATGCAAGTGCCGGACCCTCAACGAAAAACTCATAGTGCACCTTTAAGCCGTAAACGATTGAATTAATACCTTTTTTGACTCATTACAGAGGCAAACCAAGTACTGTGTGTAATTTTGCTATTTATTTTTTGCAGCTCATGTTTTTTTTTAACATTATTATTATATTATTATTATAATAATAACAATATTGTACATTTAGAATACTTTTTTGTTGTTTAAAAGTGCACTGTGTAACTTTTCTATGGATATATCATTGCTCTGCTTGGAATGTTCCACAGTATGACATTAAACAGCTAAATTACCAGTGGTTTTCTATCTCAAAAATAAAAAAAAAAAAAAAAAAACAGGTATTCTGATTATGAACGAGGTTGTCTATCCACAGACCTGACCTGTAACTTGGTCTGGTTTGGTCTCCATGATGATAAAAAGATTTAATACCATCTCCGACAACGCAATAACATCTCCAAAAAAAGCATTGACGTACCATTCAGCAGAAAAGTTACTCAGTGCACCTTTAAATCTGCTCTTGGGTTTTTGTGTCAGTGTCATAAATTAGTTTCAGTATTATAATTAATCATGTATTTGTTTATTATCTGTATTTTCTTCAGCACTATATCACACTTCAGAATTTGTTATCGTGACAGGCCTACGCACAGTCGTCTTCAACTTCATACTTTTGTCTTATTTTTCAAATCCAGTTTTGATGATTTTTTTTAAATTTCATACTTTTAAGAATAGACTTTGCCCTTATGTGGGTGTAAACAGAGCGAGTAGACATTTACGAGATTATTATTTATAATGACATATAATTAGAATAAGAATGCATCATTGAATTGCCTGTAACCAAAATTGCATTGTTCTGCTGTTTTTTAGGTTTCGAAATGTCATCCCATTTAAAAAAAAAGAAAAAAAAAGAAGAAGAAAAAGTTGTTTATCATAGCTTCTGCCCTTTTTTCTGATTTGATGAAGCTTTTATGAGATGTTATGCTGGCTCACTGAATGTTGTTGTGCATTTTCAGGTCATTCTGATTGAAAACAAAGAGGAGTCCCTGGTCAGAGCTCAGAGCCGCGGAGCTGAACTGGGTCTGCACAACATTGGCTTTATTCAGGCCAATCTGGACTATTTCACTGGACCCTTTCACATCGGGGTGAGTGGAGGACGCGCACTCAACACTCAAAACACAATATTACCAAGGTTTTTTCATAATCATAATTAATAAAAAACTGTTTAGAAACAAAAGAATAGAATTTTCAGCTCAGAGGGTCTTTCGTGTGTACCAGTCAGATCACACCACTCGATAACTATTCTGCTTGTGAATTTTGTTTTCTTTATCAGTGCTTGCTCACAAATATCAGGGTTTGCATTTGTCTTAACAAACAGTGTTCACATCTGTAGCTGAAAGAAAATGTTATGATTATGATTAGGTTACAAATATAGCTGCATGTTGACTCAAACATGTAACAAATAATTTTACTTTCCAGATACAGAAGTAAAAGCCTAATTTCATTCATGTTTACTTTAAAGGAATCCGTGTATCATGTATTCATTTGTTATTCAAAATAAAACCAAAAATAAGAAAAAGAAAAACAACTATTTTCTTCAAAATGAAAAAACAGATATTGATTTTGTGTTTAAATGAATAATGGAAAAAAACGGATAACGACGTTTCACGTTTTTGTAACTTAAATTGTGATGCCGGACTTTTGCGCCGCATACGGACTGAACCAGGACTAAAACAGGAATAAAACAGGACTAAAATAGGTCTAAACCTCGTCTAAACCAGGACTGAACCAAGACTGGACCAGTACTGAAGCAGTACTCTGTGTCGGAATGGGCCTGGAGGTACGCCTGCATACAATGTCGGGTGATCAGGACTCAGACCGGGACCAGACCGGGACAGGGACCGGGACTGAGACCGGGACTGAGACCGGGACTGAGACCTGGACCAGACTGGACTGAGACCTGGACTGAGACCTGGACCTGAGAGACCGGGACTGAGACCGGGACTGAGACCCCGGACTGAGGACTGGGACTGAGACCTGAGACCGGGACTGAGACCTGGGACTGAGACCTGAGACCTGTTCAGGCTGGTTCTGTCCTTGTTCTGTCCTGGTTCAGACCTGGTTTATTCCTGTTTTAGTCCTGGTTCAGGTCTGATTCAGTCAATATGCGGCGCAAAAGTCCGGCATGAAGAAAGTAGTTGTTTTTTCGTTTTTTTATTTTTTTGAAAAATGAATGAACAAATGATACACGGATTTAAAGGGCTGATATTTTATTTCACTATTTTTATATCTATGTTTTAATGTTGTTTCCTCGTCACAAACAGACCTGGAGTTGGGTTTTGTTTCTTTCACACATGTTTAACACACAAACCCTGCATATTTAGGCTGAGTTCTTCTCTCAAACAGATAAACGGTCTGTTCCACCTTGTGATGTCATGTGATAACACAGGAAGTGCTCCACTGTATTTTAAACTCCATAGACACCTTCACTAGAATCATTTGAAAGATCTGTGCCATGGAATTGCCTACATGTATTGAAATAAAGGTACGGTATTTTCCGGACTATTAGACGCGCTCTTAAGCCTCCAACCCCATCAAAAAACGACTGCGCCCGCAATCCAGAGCAGCCCCATACACGAATCCACTCGGGTGTCCCAGCACGACTTCAGTAAACTACAACGCCGCACCACCTCGCAGCGCACGCAAACACACGAAGCAGACAGCGACAGCACAGCGAAAAACACCCACAGCCACACTTATCACTCCACGCCGACGAGGAACGGAACGGAGGAACGAACCGAAAAAGTGAGTGCACTGTGACACTTCTAGACACAACTGAACAACTGAACAACTGAGTCACTGCGAACACGCCAACAATCCAGCGGTCCCAGACAGCACCCTCCATACACGCCACAACTGAACAAAGCCCAGAGTCACCATGAACGCGCCAAACAAAGTCCAACTGACCCATCGAACTGTTGTGTTTCATTTAAAGTCCGGTGTGGTTTATTTGTGAAAAAAGTTCGAAAATAGACCATTTAATGACAGTGCGTCTTATAATCCAGAGCGCCTAATAGCCCGGTAAAAGGTAGCTTCATGACATCACAAGGCAGAACAGCAGTTTGAGCTTTGGCAATGTAGACAGACCAGTAATAAAGTGTTACTCAAACATGTGTGAATGAAACAAAACACAACTCCGAGTATGTTTTTGAGGAAGTAACAATTTTCTAAAATGACTTAAAGCTCACAAGAGTCAGTTTTGTGTAATATAGCACTTCGAACTTAAAAAAACATTTGTACAAAAATTGGCAAATATTGTGTATTGGTTTAGCAGCACATCAGCAAGCCAAATATCGGACAGCAATATAACTTAAAAAATCCATATCGCAGCATCCCTGTTCAACCCCATTCGTAAATCTCCTTCACACAGTCGCTGCCCTACTCCGAGCGCTCCACATAACTGGGCCAGCTGTGCACCACCAGAACAGAAGCACGTGCACACAGATTAACCCCAAAAGTGGAATTAGCCAGACGAGGATTTCCCTACAGACCAGTTAGGAAACGTGGGGTTTAAACGTTTAAAAAAAAAAAAAAAAATCTCCCAAATAAACAGACAAAAGCATTTAGTATTTTTTACACGTGTATCAGCCTTGACTTAGTCTTTTACGAAAATCAATATTTAATTTCACAGACTTGAGGTGTAATTCAACAAACAAATAGTTGTCCTAAAAAATCCGATCGCACTTGTATGAGCTGTTTTGGTAATTTCCTCAGTACTCACACAAAACAGATGCAGAGACACCTCAGTATGTGGTCATTTTCACACTGCCGCTAGTTTAGTTTATTGCTTTTCTGGGGAGAGTCCATTACGCTTGTGGACATGTCATTTGTACCTGGAATGTGTACCTGGAATGTTGAGATAGTAGTTAGTAGTAGTTTTATTCTGTCATTTTTGCAGCATTACAAAACAAAACACAGACTACAACCCCATGGATTATGACCGAAAGGGTTTAGGCTGAAGTAAAAAAAAGAAAGTACTTATAATGTCAAACCTTTTTAAACAATGACAGAATTCCCAGAAAGAAAGGCATCATGTAGATTGTGTATAGATCATTGTAGATTAAACAACTCCACCTTACATTGATTTCAAATACAGGTGGTTTCACTGCTCAAAAATACCTTGAAAATCCGTGTATCATTAATTTTTCAATATAAAACTAAAAATAAGAAAACAACTGTTCTCTTCATTATTTGTGTCCTAAACCAAAATGAAAAAAAAGGATATATAATATTTTTTTTCTTCAGTTTTTGATTTTGTGTTTAAGTGAATAATGGGAAAAAACGCGATAACAGCCGTTTCCGTGACTTAAACTGTGATGCTTTTGTGCCGGATGCAGACTGAACCAGGACCATGACTAACCAGGTCTAAACCAGGACCAGGACTAGTGTCGGGACAGGCCTGGAGGTGCGCCCGCATAGACTGTCAGGTGAGGCTTAGGACTGAGACCAGGACCAGACCAGGACTGAGATCAAGACTTAGATTGGGACCAGACCAGGACTGAGACCAGGACTGGGACTGAGACCAGGACCGGGACTGAGACCGGGACTGAGACCAGGACCAAATCGGGCACCAGACCGTGATGATGGGACTGGGACTGAGACTGGTTTAGTCCTGGTTCAGTCCTGGGTCAGTCCGTATGCGGCGCAAAATTCCAGCATCTCACTTTAAGTCACGAAAACAGAAAACGGACGCTTTTTCCATTATTCATTTTAAAACACAAAATAGAAACCTGAAAAAAGGAATCTGTTATCCATTTTTTCATTGACTGTTATTTTTATTTATTTATTTATTTTTTCGTTTTCTTAATTTTGGTTTTATATTGAAAAACAAATGAACGAACAACACACGAATTCATGGAGAAAAGCATTTTACAGATCCTCCACCACACAATGCGCCTTTAATGAGACAAGGACAGTGCACAATGTACATTAACCTGAACAGGAGAGATGCATTGTACCCGGTTATAACATTAGTGCTAATTTCCACCTATAGACCCTGGGCGGGCTGATGTTATAGTTCATAAACTCAAAGACACAAAGAAAATGTCTTTATAATGACCATCATAAAAAATCTGTATCATCATTCAAACCCAGTTCTCTCAGCAGTTTAAAATCATCACCCATTATTATTATCCAAAAGCACCAGGACATCACACTCTTTAAAGTAGAGCTGTTTAATGTCATACTGTGGAACATTCCAGACAGAGCAGTGACATTTCCAGGCAGTCACATTTCTCATTCTCATTAAACGGCTTCTCGGGACTGTTTCAAATACGAGGTCTCAGAGCAGCTCCTCTCACACTCTGGAGCGGGGGGAGTGTGGTGTGAACGTGGCCGACCTTGGGCTAACCTTGGGCTGACCTCAGACTGACTTACGCAAGGAACAGTGTGTGGCATTGGGTAAAAAAGCACTCGGCTCATGTATAAAATGGGCGTTGCAGAGCTGCTGTTTGACACATTTGTCTGACGAGGAAATTTTGATCGACTTATGATGACTGTCTGAACAGAAGACGCAAAAGTGGCATCGCATCTTCACTTTTTATTCCGCATTTAGACAAGCATTTTCGGGAAGAAATCTGCGTGCATACGGTGACGCAAAAGTGTGTGGAATTCGATTGGGTGCGCGTGCCAGACGGCTCGGTGACGCTCGGTGGTGATGTATGTGACGTAAACGTGTACGCGACGTGAGCAGATCTGACCAGAGTTTTGCGTCTTGGGCAGTGTAGACGGGAACGCTACGGCGGAGCGTATTCAGCTTTTCCACTCTGCAGGGTGGTTTCAGATTTTTGCGTTTTTAAGCCCCAAAAATGTCATCACCTTCTAAACGAAAGGCACTTCTGAGAAAATATTTTATTGTTGTGTTCTCATGTAAATAGACTCTTAATATCAGCCACACCTGCCGCCTCCTGCCTCTGTCTGCGTGAGCTCAGGGCTGCGTCTCATTTATCTTTCCTCGCTTCCTTCTCCTTAATTTCTCTCCTTGATTCTGCGGGAATTGGGTGAAGAAGTCTCATCCACAGAGGAGATACAGGGAGGAGAGAGGACATAAACTCCTCACTGAGACCAATAAAGCAGAACATTGGCTTCATTCAGGCCAATCTGAACTACTTCACTGGACCCTTTCACATCGGGGTGAGTGGAGGACGTGCACTCAACACTCTGTAGTTTTTTCCTTAAAACACAATATTACCAAGGGTCATTCATAATCATAATTAATAGGGGTGTAATGATATCCAAGTCTCACAATACGATATCTTCACGGTATGAACCTCACAATATGATATTTATTGCAATATTTTGTGGAGGCTTATAAAACTGTTAATAATCATTTTAAAATCCCTTGACAAGACTTAATCCAAAGAACTAAGACTTAAAAGTGCTTAGAACTGTTATTTCTTGTTATAATCTGCACTGAAATGGAGCAAAGGATC